CCACGAATCTTTGAGAAAAAGCAGTTCAGTCTCCAGTTTTTTCTCTAGCCTGCTTCACGGTTTTCATAGTGCTTAGATTTTCTTTTATTTTCCGCCAGTAGTAAATGCCTTTTTAGTGTCCGTTTGTACTTATAAAGTATTCGATTATTTGCTATGTGACCGCGGGGAAAAGGAATACGACTCCTGGTATGTAAGCGGAGTTTTTCGTTTCATGAATTTTACAACTTTTGCTATTTAATTTTATATTTATAATTTTTTTTTTTCGGAAAACTTTTTTATTTACCCACGACGTTTACCCACACCCTCGACACACACTAACACCCACACCCACGACTCACCACCCACGACCTCTACCCACTACCCACGACCCATGACATTTAGCTACACTCGCTGCTGACAGCTATATGGCTGTTTGACTGGTTGAAATATCAGCCATGTTCATTATGCGACGCAACATGTCTGGGCAAGCAATCATACAAAGCCTACTTACAGAAACAACAGCACTTATTAGTTAACTTTAGGCCTTGTAAAAATTTATTACCGCCAATTATCGTATCTGAAAGAAGATTATTTGCCAGCAGTATATATATACTTCAAGCCCTTTCTCGCGCTGTACTGATGCAAGGAACTGCGGGCTGTGTTTATATATCCAACGCCAACAGTAGAAATGCTACTTTTAAGCTGAATTTAATAATGTCCTTTCATTTTTCTTGTATATTTTACAGGTTCGTGTTGTTGACAGCTTTCTTGTTCAAGGTCCTTACGTTCTCATACGAGTTGGGCTAATTGTCTTCAGCAAGTTTGCAAACTTCATAGAAAAAGAAGGTACTGGTTTTCAGAGAATGGGCAAATATTACTGCTAGAAGTTGTGGCTGTAAATATGAATGTGAATGTGGAATGTAAATATGAAATATGTAAATATGAAAATATGGAATTTTCCTGAAATATTTGTGTCCAAAGTATGAGAACTCCCTGACTTAGGTCAATTATTTAGCAATTAATGAATGAGGCTGAGTAGGATATGAAGAATTAAGCAGATCGAGGAGGGTGTTATCTACCGAGGCCGAAGAGAGATCTGCTTAATTCTTCATATCCTTCGAAAGCCGAATTCATTAATTGCTTTATTTTTCATTCAAAATAATTCCTAGTTTAAAAGCATAGCTGAAACAAGCTTACCTGCATCGATGTTAAGTTTATCTTCGATAGTGTACCTTTAGGTTTGTCCAGCTCTCCAAATAGCAGATGTCGCCCTCCGAGTTGTCTTCTTGCTGATTTTGCTATGGTTTTAGCCTAGTTCCAGCTGTAGTTCTTACTCTTGAAACGAGTGAAGTGTCCGCCATTTTAGTTTTCATAACGAAAACAACTCAACCTCGTCCACAGGTCTTCTCGGTTAACGGTGCATTAACCTGTAGAAGGCTGCATTTTTGACGTCATTTCTTCGTTAAACACAAAATTCTTCCACATTTGGTCATCAGTAAGTGGTTATGGTGAATTATGCTTGTGCTTTTAGCCAATCAGAATTGGGGAAATATTTTGTTATAATAATAACAACAATTATTGGATGAGGCTGAGTATCTTCTGAAGAATTAGGAATATCGAGGAGAGTGTTATCGGCCTCGGCGGATAACACCCTCCAAGATGTCCATAATTCTTCAGATGAGACGAAAGCCGAATTCAATAATTGTTCTGTTATTCATTCAAAATAATTCCTCGTTTAAAAACAAAGTGAAACATGCTTAATATCATAGGTGACGAATTACTCCTTAATTTTGGCGCGAAATTTCAGCGATAATTTGTAATTTCACATGTGAAATTACAAAATTGCCATGGCAACCTTCCGTACGTCTCATTGTCAAGATGGCGACGAAGTTTTAAAATGCCGTGAATGAAGATGTCAGGGCACGAAAAGACGCTTTAGAAAACCTGAACACACAAGAGAACATCAAGAAGGACTCTAACATGTATTTTGCCGAAAAAGTCTGAAAATTCTGAACTTTACAGGCCAAATTTAAGGTCTAAACATTTGAGATAGTGGAGTTCTCGATCGATATGATCCAGGATAAACATGTCAAAAATCCAAGATTGCTAACATAATTCGTCACCCATGATATTAGTAGGTAATCAAATGGTATACTCGTGAAATTAGGGAATAATTTCACTTGCGTTTTGTCCAAATCCTAATAATTTCCCTCGCCTAAAGGCTCGGGAAATTATAAGGATTTGGACCAAACGCGCGTGAAATTATTCCCTAATTTCACTCGTCACCATTTGATTACACATACTAATTACCTCCATCGATAATAAGTTTATCTTCAATTGCAATTGCCTGTTTATACGGCACGTTTAGGAGATAAAGGGTTGTTCTGTTCTGCAAATATTCTCCAAATAGCAGATGTCGACGGTCGAGTTGTATTCTTGCTGTTCTTGCTATGTTTTAAGCCAACAGTTCGCTTATTTCTACCTCGCGAAACGAGTGAAATGTTCCGCCATTTTGTACTCACCACCAAAATAATTCAACCTCGTCCCCAGGTCTCCCCTGTTAACTTTTTAGATTTCTGGCAATTACGCTGCACAATTGACGTTGAAGGCCTAATTGTAATAAATGACCCTGAATGTAATAAAGTCCTAAATGTAATGGACAAATGGAATTATCCGTTCTGCGGCATATTCGTTTGCGTTCCTTTGCAGTTTAATGTCAATCTAAATGTAACAAGACGCTGAGGTAGCGTACATTTGTGCGTCGGTGTACTACGAGTGTGTGAAGTTTTTTTGTGTCTTAGAGATGTGGAAGTAGTGCGTATATTTTAGGGGCTGGTTGAGATGCGTGAAGTGGAAGGTGTGTGGAGTTATATTGGACGTAAATTGGCAAGGTAATGGCTGTAGCTTGTTAGTCAGTGAAACTTGTTTCTCGTAGAATTTAATATGAAGTAACAGGTGTTGCAGTGAGGTAGTTGTGGAAGTGCTAATTTGTTTATGAAGGGATGTGTAGTTACACTGTGTTGAAATGAAGTGGTGGTTGTGAACAGTCTTATCAATAGTCGAAAACCTGATACTTGCACTTAGTATTTTAAACTTTGTTAGGCTTTCTGCGTAGGATTGTTTATCCGTTATTTTTAATAATATTTTTATGGAGAGAACATGGATAAGGCTCATAGTTTATTTAATATAGAGAAGGAGGTATGAAGATGTTGAGGAGGGGGGGGGGAGCTGAAATTTTGAAAAATCGTTGAGGTCAAGGGGGGCGTAAAATCTGGCCTTAGAACTAAGGGCCTGATTACATGAGCCGGGCTGGCTCGCTTTACAGAGATCCCGGCACCTTAGTTAAACGCATCAAAAATCAACTTTGCGATCATATAACAACCGAGCCAGCCCGGTTAGCTGGGATCCCAGTATTGTGAGGCCCTTACTGCGAGTTATATTGTCACGCAGTTTGCAAGTGAAAGCTTTGGAATTTGCCGTTTTCGTGGTTCTTGTATGAGTATGAGAGGATACAATTTCATCTAATTAACCCAAGGGTTTTAAAAATAGAACGCGGTTTTCACGCGAAGATGTTGGACTCTGCCTCTTTTACGGCTCGACCGTGAAGGAATGCAACTTGTTAAAGATATCATTTTGCTCAAAAAGATTTTAAGAAATATCCAATGAAATTATGCATCCTTCAATGTTACCCTTAATTATCTCATGCACGAGATCATGGAATTTTTCGTGACATCTTCATTGGCGCTTGACAACTGAGAGCAAAAATATTGTCAAACTCTCGGCAATAAGCCAAACCATTCACACCGTGTGCTACGAGGACGATTCTTTTCAAAAGGGAAAAGTTAGGAAATTATTCAAAGTTTGTTTCACTCAGTGTACATTGTTTTTCCAGAAAGTTTGTTTTCTGTTGCCGATATGTTTGCCGTGCGTTATCTGTGGGTCGTATGTAACGAAGATAAATGCTGTGTTGTGACACAGCGCGCGGTAGACATTCGCGTCGCTTAGCCTGTTTACTTGGCTTGTTTACGTATTGCGTGCCTATTGCAAGTTTGAATCAAAACAAGCGAACTCGATTACTCTATTTGGGCGACGCCCATATAACAACATTTTAACGTAAATGTAATAAACTCTTAAGAGTGATAACATTTGGCCTGAGGTCATGCTAACGTCATCAATGACGTAAGTAACACGCCATTAAAGGGGCTGTGTCATGGCTGATTGCTTCATTACGTTCATGTCTCCAATTATCGTATTTACTCGAATAAGCGCCGCCAGGGGCTCTTTCGACAGTACTTGAAATCTTTCGTCCCGCCTTTTCTCCCGACCCGACTGACTGCCCCTGGGTGCCCGAGGATGGGGTGGAGCTTAATCGAGGGCGGCAGGCGCTCAGTCGAGGGCGGTGCTTATTCGAGTAAATACCATAACTGGCGACATGAACACAATGAAGGAGACAACCATGACACAGCCTTTTTGATGACGCGTTCCTTACGTCATTGATGACGTTAGCATGACTTCAATACTGTGACCTCAATATTATGACTGAACACAGTTTGGGTGGCGGTCAGCGGTAACGCGCGTGTCCGCGTGTGTTTTAAATTAGACAAACAAACATGGCGGCGAAAAAGCAATTACAGTAAATCACTTAGTCCAACTTTACTTTTGTTAGAGCGGGTCATAAACAACGATAGCAATCTTGTATTTACTTTACCGCCGTGTACGTACGTAACCGTAGTCACCGTTTTAGTTAATCCTGGTTTTCATTAGCGACGGAAACCCAAACGCAAGCATTAGTGTAAGCATAAGAGTGCTTATGTCACCGTGAAAATGGTATGAACGCAGGCATAAGCGCAAAGACGAAAAGTTTGCCTTTTTAGTGTGCTAACGCTTATGATTGCGTCCGTGTTTGAGAGTGAAAACGGAATTGCGGCCGCATAATCGCAAGGTGATCTGTTATGCTTGGCCGATTAAATCACTAGTTTCAGGAACAAAAGCGTATTCCTGCCATTTTGGCACAAAACAAGATGGCTGTGGAAGGTTTAAACTTTGATGAAAAGGTCGCAGAGGTGGTACGCAACTATCGAGTGTTTTACTACAAACAAGGACGCCATTTCAAATACAGATCGAAAGAAAAATACTCAAGCGTGGAATGAGGAAGCCACCGAAATGGGAATGAAAAAAGGTAATTACGGAAAGACAGACCTAGTTGTCATCTAAGCCTCAGAGGAATAAGTAATAACAATACTTGGCGTTTAAGCGTGTTCCCTACCATGCTGGCCAAGCCATGACAGAAGACTAGGAACTCGTGAATTTCATTACCTTTGTGCTTGAGTTTATGCTTGCGTCGGGGTCCGTTTTCACTTGACAAGATTCCAAAGCTTGCGCTTGCTTACCTCGCAAATTGAAAACCAGGCTTGAATTAAGCACTCGCGGCTCTGCCAAACATTTTCTTTAGTACGAGGCTAAACCTGCGCATTAATGAGTGGTATCGTATTTTTCGGAAAGGCCTACGATTTTAAAATTGGAAAAAGCAAGAACTACTGAAGGGCTATTCATGTCCGTTTTTTTGCACATCCTTTTAAATCCCTGCCCTTTCACTTTTTTCCACTGCAGCCTTCTTCCTCTTCCCCTGGGTTCACCTTCAACAGCACCAGTCCTGCACCTTCTTAGGATCTCATTAAGGTTGGAACACCATGAATTTTCTAAGATTCTACCCCTTTGTTAAATTCTTGGTTTAGCCAAAGGTGCTTTCGATTGACCTTATTCTGGAATAGGAATACATTGAATAATCCGAAAAATCCGGTCGACTGACCTTCTATTCTAATTCCAGAATAACTGGAATTAATATATTCCAAACATTCTACTCGGGCAAGCATAATACTTGAAATAAAGGAATAAAATGACTTGATTTTCCTTGTGTCGCAGTCAGTTTTCAAACAAAGAAAGAAAATGGCAAACTCCGTCAGTGACAATAAACGATATTTCAAGGAAAAAGACGAGTTATTCAGCAGAAAAAGATAACTACTGGAGCAGAGAAGAAATTCTTTAGTATATTTCTTCTTGTTCCTGAATTTCTCAGTCGTATATTAAAGAAATTCCAGCGAACAGCTTCCCTGTGCTCTTTAAATATAATATTTTCCAAATTACAAATTAAACTATCTTTCAAGCAAACCTTTCCTCCGTCTTATACTATCCATGATAGAATTTCAATATATGTCCGTTTAAACAACGTTGTTAATTGACGCGATATTTGTAACAATACCCGAGACATCACTGTTGATAATAAACAAAACACGTGTCATCTAGTTATCTCAAAACAGAAGTTATTCCAGCTATTTCGGAAAAATCCAGAATATGGTCCTGTTCCAGAAAAAGGTCAATCAAACGCGTCCTTAATATCCTTACAACTAATGGAAGTAAATAGAAAGTTTTTTTTTTTTTTTCAGGACAAATGTCAGGGAAATGCGACCTAGAGGATCTATTCAAGTCATTTGCTCAACAAATGCCGCTGAGGGGTTGCGAACTACTTCAAGTAAATTTTCTGTGCCTTTTGACATTTATAAATACGCGTTTTTTGGTCAATACAAAATGTTGAAAGGTCCTTCATGGATAGCTCACAACTTACAGGCTTGAGAGATCATTATTTCAAACAACAAAAGAAAGATTTTCTCGTCATCTCTGAGAAAGAAAATTACCCTGACCTGAAATTGACGGAAAGAGAGGTTTGTGCGCAAGTTTCAAAATGCGAAGAACGTCTCACTGAAATCCTTAAAACGTGGTTATATTCCAAACCCTTTTAATATTAATTTTGAGTGATCGTTGTAACTTCTTTGAGGAATATCGCTTTCAGTGGAATGGACATACAACCCATGTCTAAAGCCTGCAATAAAGTAAAAACACCTACCTCCCAGTGAACGCAAAATCTTGTTTATTTGAAATAAAGCGACCAACGTTCGGTGGTTATTTCACTATAAGGATGAGGCTCAGCCTTACGTCCTTGCATTGTTAGGTAGTTTAATCCGTTTTACAGTCAATGCCAGCTACGCGTTTCCAGTCGTTAACGGACTAATGAATTCATTCTTCGAAAATTGATTCGGTTTGGCGGTTCAATAATCCATTCGTAAAATGAAAAATTCAAATTAGAGGCATTCGATTTGTTTTTGCAGACAGCTTTTAAAATTCGACGTTTTTCAAGAGAGCAACTTGAACAAATAAAAAAAAAGCAGTATCACATCCCTGAAAAAAGTGGGGATCCTTCCAGTACAAAGTTGGGATCCTGTTCCGCAGCGCGAGCTTACACTGTTTGCAGTTACAGGCACCAACCTTCTGTCGCAGAAAATGGTTTGTACCTTGGAACCACTATATTGCTTTTTGTAACATCCATTCATAGGGCTGATTTCAGTTGGGTGTGGGAAATACCGTCGCACACCATAGATACTAGCGGTGTACATTGCACCACTGTATAGGAAAATATTTGATAGTAAGAAAAAATAATGATTTGGGGATTTTGGTCTTCATTGACGTAGACGTTAACTAGTGCACACAACAGCTACCTTCAATTAATTCCATCTTGAGAAAAACGCAGTTAAAGCAATTATAACATCGAACTAATACAGAATACTGCCCAAATTATAATTATGCTACCAATTCAGTGTTCATAAACCAAAGTCTTACCAGTAGTGTGTTTTAAAGGCGGTATAGTCAGATGCATAGATTGAGGTAATTTTTAGTAAGACAACGACAAAAAACAAACAAACAAACAAGATAACTTACAGATGTTTGGAAGTCTTTGAAAAAGTGGATAGAAAGCAATGTAACATTGCAATTGAGGAAGGGGCACCATTTTTACTTGTATGGGTGTATTCATTTGATTGCTGTTTTTCAGTGGGAATTACTGTGTTCATGGTTACCTGTGAGAGTTCGCATCAAGAGGCCATTTTGCTTGTTTACAACCAACGATGCCGGATACAGGTATTGCCTTAATTTGAGCACACTGCACAGCCTTACTGCGATCACAATATACTTTTTATCTTGATTATGCCGGACATGCTTTTGCATCGATTCTGCAAAAAAAAAAAGAAAAGAAAAGAATCGATTTTGCATGCTTGTTTTAGTATCAAAGATAGCTGTCTGTTTGTATTTGGTCTCGGTTCCTTTTTTCATCGAGGTGTCGGAAGAGCTGAGTTGATGAGTTTAGTCTAAAATTAGCATTTTTTAGGTCGTCATCACCGAAAAAGATATACCTTAATGGAGTTGTTGTTAATATCTCATGCTCCAACAGAAATCAAGAACACCATGGACAGCTGCTACCGCCTTGAATTCTATGTTCCTTTTAAATTTGCGGTGCCTGCCCTTATGGTTTTGCAAAGAAAACCTTACACCCAACTGGAAATTTATCTGTCATCAGTGTGGGTCTCGACGAACATGAGTGAGCAAGATTATTAATTTTACTCTCCTTGATGGGAAAGCCTCTTAAAACTTTAGTTTTTATAAAATATTGATACGTCAGGGGAAGACAGGAACAATGTGAGTCTAAATAAATATGTAGGACCATAGGGTGGAAAGCTAATTTCAGTCCGCTATTCCAGACAGACGGACGGACGGACGGATGGTTACGGAGATGGGAGTATGGGGGATGAGGGGAAAGAGGGAAAGAGAAAGAAATATATCGCATCAGTAAGGTTTCCGGTGCCCGCTTTAATCCTGATGTGATCAGTCAAGAGCGTAACTACGGCTTTGGTGTAATGGCCTTTACGAAACCCGTGCTATTTTCGGATCTAAAAAAGCTGATTCATTTCAAGAAACTGGCTAAGCTGCATGTGGACCGCCTTTTATAGTTTCTTGGATACTACCTACATGAGAGATATGGGACGATAGTTATTCATGTTTGTGCGATCTCCTGCTTTATGTAAAGGGGCGACTTTAGCCATTTTCCAGTCTGTTGGTACGCGTGCAGTTGTGAGTGAAGTGTTAGTCAGCCGTGTGACTAGTCAGCGCTATCCTCAGTTCAGCAAATGCTCGGTTACGAGGGCAGCGTGCATGAGCATCGCATACACCGGAACACACCCATCACCCCTGGTAACAGGTCAAATCACCAAGACTGATCATCTCCTTGTCTTCGCTAAACATATTAGTTAGAACATCTTGAAGTATTCAGATGAACTTAGTGTAGTGATAGTCGGACGTATTCGGTGAAGGACAGAAGTTCCCCGCAAGGAAACCCCTTCTCAGACCCTTACTGCTCGGCTGTACGATTCCCACCCATATCCTTTCTATTTCCTCCCTTTCAAATTTCATTTGTCTGATGTTCGAAACCGAGTCTGATTCATACACCATCACCCCTCCATTCTAGCTGCGCGGTCTATCTCTACGATGAGTTGTAAATCCGTCCATCGCGAGCTTCCTATTTGGGAGTGTGTTTCTGACAGGTCGACGATATTAACACCTTATTTAAGACCACAGAATATGTCCAGGTTCTCCAGTTTGGTAGTCAAGGATCGAATATTTTGGTGGACGATTCTCAAACCTCGGGTCTAACAGAGGTCACTCATCTCCTGGAGAATCGGCTATGCTTTTTTAACCTCGGTCAAATGAAGCTTTTGCAACTTTTGAGTATGCCGATCCCAGAATGGCCAGCAAATATAAATGGCGAAATGTGGTCTCTCATTTTATTCATTTTTACTACCCGAGTAAGAATAACAACAATTCAACACAGTTTTCTATGAGAGTGTACACGCCATTGAGCTTTCTCCAGGCTTTCTTTAACTTGTCGTCACATCTCTTTGCTAATCAATGTTCACTGTATACTGGATCATGGAACATTATTATTTTTAAAAACTGAGAATAACTGTTGTGCGTTGATATGGTCAATGCAGTAATAAAAGTTTAAGAACCAATTTGAATAGCCCTTTATATAAGGCAGTTCCCTTGAAAATGATCTTCCATCGAGATTTTTTTCAAACTTGGCACCATTGACAGACATATAATATATAGGGCATTATAATACTGCAATACTGCACCGTACTTAGCTTTCGCCTTGTATGCCGGTAATTCTAAGTGTTGTTTGCTTATTGCGCGCAAACTGTTCGAAACTTGAACAACAGTACGCAAACAATTCATGTTACATGGCAAAAACTATGAGCTATAATTTTTCAGTAAAGTGACTTCAAATTACCTGATCTTGCAAAAAAATGTAAGAAAATGGACAGTTTTAACATTTTGACCGCGGCAAGATTAGATCAGTCGGTAGAGCGATGACTGCAGAGCGGGAGGTCACAGGTTCAATTTCCGGGGTCGGACCAATACTTGGGGTCTTAAAAATACTGAGAAATGAAGGCACTGCCTTTAAAAATAGGGACCCCAATTGGCACTTTCGTGCTAAATACACTGACACTCAAATAAAGTGCTTTTTTTGAAATGTCATACTCCTGTGTGCCAAATACAGAGTCTCCATTCATATCTAAATAATACAACTTCTACTAAGCAGATTTTTTCTCCCTAAAATATAGTTTCCTCGTATCCATAACGAGTGAAACAAGCAAAACGCCAATAAAAGAAGGGTCACCGTTCTCGTTTACCTCTCTTTAGGCGACCGGTGAAAATCCCCTTCACCTTTGAGGTGGCGATGATATACGCAGTAGTTGATGCACAGCGCAAAACAAGGGAATTACCAAATACTAGCCCTTTATTTTTCCCGAGAGGTTAATAAACGTTTTTCTTCATATATATATTTACTTATCAGTATAAAGACTCTGTACATCAACTGTGAGGGTCATGTTCAAACAATACTTTTAATCGAGACATCTAGTGGAGAGGTAAGTGAAAAGGTCTACTGGTTAGTTCTCAAACTCATTAATTATATGCAAGAATTTATCAGCCAATGCGAACAACTATTTGGTCACATATTATTTTTCATAAAAAATGATAAAACACTAGTGACAGGTTTGGATATGATATGTAATCGCTAGAGGAGTTTGTATGTGCCACAGTGAAAGGTATGGTTTTCAAGCACTTTACTCTAGGACAGGGTATATAAATCAGAGCGTTTGGCTCTAGAATAGGGTATCATTTTTCAGGGAAACTGATGAGTTGGTTGAAGATTTTATCTAGACTAGGGATTGTGGTATAAGGTTTTGTTTTGGCTAGACTACTGTGCTAGTGACCTCAGCAGTTCCTGGAAAACAGCCACTCTAGGATAGGGGGGATTAATTTGGGGAGTTTACTGTAGTAGAGGGTAGCAAAATTCAGCTGAACTAACTCTGGTATAAGTTAAGGGATCCAGGGTCCCAGCGGCACATCCCCACTCAGAAATTCCTAACGTACCCCCCTCGGAGGTCGACACTCCCAGAGTGGAGCGACAATTGGCCGATACTCGACCGCTATATTGACCTGGTGTGTAACGATGCTCGTACGATCTACCCTCTAGTAGGCCTCAGTCGACAATAACTTCAACGACTCATTTACATCTATCTGATACTCTTGAGCCTGGGTATGTTCCGTGAATAATAACTGGTACTCAAGGCCAGAGTCACTTCCTGGCAATATTTAACTTTGCTACGATGACGAGACTTGATAAGGCCAAACCCGAGCTGTCCAAGGCTGATAAGATTAAAGCTCAAAGATTGCAATACTCTGATTGACTTTTAGCCACATGTTCACCCGTTTTGTTGTTGTTGTTTTGTTTTTTGTTTCGTTTTCTTTGTTTTTGCTTTTTTTTTTTTTCATACAACAGATCATTGGTGTATTTGCAAGCATGAGCTGGAGCGAACGAAAGAGTGGGCAAAAGAGCCTATCTTACTTTGGGACTGGTGAAACTTTTGTGTTTCGCTTAAGTCCAAACCCTCAGAGGTATTTTTGGAGTGGACTACGGAAGCATAGATCAGAATCAAAAACAAGAGATTTGTTCATGGCTGGAGACGACAAATGTCTTATGGTGGGAGGAAGGTATGTAGGTTTACAGGAACAAACTTAAAAAGCAACAGATAAGTTCAAATTTAACCATTGGTTAAGAATGGGAAGAGAGAACTTGAATTGGCCAGCCATACCAGTTCATTGGTCTGTTGTCAAGATCTATTCTAGCAACTCAATCACAAAGGAGCAGACTGTTAATTAATTGACCGATTTGGAAAGAAAGTTCTGGTAAACAACATTTCCATCGGTGTCTGCACTAAAAGTGGTTATCAAATGAAAGTAGAGGTGGTGTCTCAACTTTGTCTACTATAACAATGGATAATTTTATTGGATAAAATCCCCCATTTTGGGCTTAAAATGAGTAAGAGAGTTTAAGACGTGGCCATCGTATCTGTAAAACGTTTGAGGAGCAATCCCTTTTTCACACTCCTTACTTTTAGGCAAGAAGTCAAGTATAAACCAGGGTAGCAAATGTACTTTGTTAAAAGAGTCTTTAGTGCTTTATGGCATATTACGTGTATGTATTGAAAGATTTTAAAATTAGGTGGCCAGTTGTTTATTTTTCCCGTTCGTTTCCAACTCATTGTATCGTCTGCACTTTGTATAATTTCAACACATGGCATTGTCAGCATACTCCGTGCCCCCTCGCAACTGCTCCCTTGAGACGTGTCACTTTTTATATTGTGTTTATTCTTCCTCACCTATTACACTTGTGACCTTCAAGGTCACATAGCAGAAACAGAAGGTGGCGTAACTCCCATATCAGTTTCCGTAACCACGCTCTCTTTACTCTAGCGTACAGCCTGAATAAATCTGCACGAGTTTCCTTGTATATTCTATTTTTCTTTGGCGTTCACTTGCTATAATTCCTACCCCACACTTGAGTTGTGCTCAGGGGGGGGGGGGGGGGGCTTAAACACCCCCTTTTTCACGTCTCGGGCGGGTTCCTGCCCCCTCCCAAATGGGGGGTTTCTCCCCCACCCCCCCTTTTCCGCGGGTTCTCCCTTCTTTTTTATTTCCCCCCTTTCGGTTTCCCCAATCCGGTTCACCACACCTCAAATTCCTCTCTTTCCCTACCCTCCCCTCTCGTCCTTTCTGTTTTTCCCACCCCCCCCTCTTTTTTGCCTGGGTCACCCGCTAAAAAATGTTGTGGATTTTTTTTTTTTTTTTTTTTTTTTTTTTGGTTTCCTTTTTGTAATTCCCCCCCCCCCCCTTGTGTTTGTCCTGGGGGGGGGGGGGGGGGTCCTAAACACACCCCTTTTCCAGTCTTCGGACGGTTTCCTGACTCGACTCAACTGTGGGGTTCCCTCCCAGCCTCCCTCTTTCGCAGGGTCTCTCCTTCTTTTTATCTCCTCCCATTCGGGTTTCCCAAATCGGGTTACACATGCTGCAAGTCACCCTTCAGCTTTTGTTTGGCGTAACTGGGAGGGAAAGCCCCGCAGTTGGGCCAGGCCACTCCCCTCAATTGAATCCATCACATCTGGGAAGCATGACGCCAACGCTGACCATCTCTCTAAGGGAGTTTCTCTGCGTTTTTCTGAGTTTCGGGGAGATTTGGCTAAGTATTCTGCAATAATCTACCGTCTTTTGGAGGAGTCTATAGCTCCACTGCCTCGGGCAAAATGTTTCACCCATAACTTATCCATCAAAAGGCATAAGGTGGCTTTTATGCGAATGCGAATTAGTTACTATTGTTAGTGCAACTCTAAATCTTAAATGTCGATAAACGGCTTCTAAATGGCTTTAGAAGCAAAGAAACAGTAAATAACAAAACAAAAACACAAGGTGAGTCATTTTTATTTCTATTTTTGTCAAAAAAAAAAAATGGAAGTTAGGATATATTTTGTTCATTTTCATACATTCTCTTATAAAATTCAAAGTCTCCAACAGAGCCTGGGCCGCCTGTGGACTGCTCAGACTGTTTAGCGCGTTTTGTAATTTCGCCGGGCTATTGATAATAATGCCCATAACATGATTTGATTCAGACTGTCTTGTTGTCATTATTTGAAGTCTTTATTTTCTCAATGCCCTCCAAAGTGATAATAACAGTAATAGAGTTAATGTTTTTGGGCGTAAGTATGTTTTGGGCCCCTCTCAGAGCTCGTTTTAACCCTCGCCTAGCGGCTTGGGCAAAAATGAGACTGAACCGGGCCCAAAACATCTTTTCTCAGGACTAAAGAAATCAGTAAAGCCTAGCTTGACTCGCATACTAAAAGACAATTTCACATTTTTTATCTTGTCGCTTCTCATTCATTCCCAGTGAGGAAATCCCGGACCCACTCAGGTAAATTAAGGCATGGGCCTCAATTTGCAAACTTCAAAAGTGAGGGAGTGGTCTATTTCTAAGAGCTTTAGATGTAGACACATAAAACTTTGCCACTTGCACACATTTTTAGTTTGCGCCAATTTCGTGCTTTAAAATTATGCAACTCAGGTCACGTGACCTCCATCGGCTGAAAAAGCTTGTTCTTGAAATGGCAACATTTTATCGTGCGTCCTCAATTATTTTGCCGGTTGCATAATGTTAATACCAATTAATATATCACTTCTGTGCTTGGCCTTTTTTAGATATTTAAAAGAGAAGGCGTTAAGATGGGATAAAATTGCCTTGGGGGACTGGGTCTAGTTGAAAAAATCGTTGATTTTCTAAAACAGAAAAAAATTCAAAAAAGGCCAAGCACAGTTTTGTAGATGCTTGCATTACACATTGTCCTAAACCCCTTCGGTTTAATAACTGACAACAAAAAGTGTTGCCATTTTGCTTAAAGACTTTTTATTGTTTTCTGACCGTGTGGAGTTTCGTGACAACATTTGCATAATTGAAAAACACCAAAGTGATACATACACACATCTTTCTAATGCTTAAGTGCTCAGAGATGGCAAAACCATTCAAATACCAGTTCCCATTTCTATCCTTTCAGGGCCCTCACCAATGGAAACAAGTGTAAACGTTTAAGATGTTGTCATTACTTTTTTCAGTGGTTGCGATCATGCCATTTGGCTGGATGATGAACTCAAGCGAGGACAGAGTGGTCCCACCGAGACATTTGGTAATGTGCAGCTCACAGAAGACAAGGATTTTGTCTGCAATAGGGTTGAGGTGTTGGGTTTTGTCACAGAAAATTAAACATGGAAGTTATGGGTAACAACCGAAGAGATATAAAGCGCACAACATTGTCTGCAATTTGAATGCTGCAAGATTCTAATTACCGCATAAAGATAGAGACGTTCCTCGCAATGAATAGAGAAATGATTTATTTCCTAGCTCTTTTCCAAAAGTTTATCATGGACAGTTCCTATCGAAATAGATAATTACCGTATTTCTTCGAATAAGCGCCCATCCTAAAGACAGAAAAAGTTAATAAGCGCCCAGCCTCGGATAAGCGCCCACCCACTTGGGTGACAACGATATTGACTGAAGAAGGAGTTTTCTTCAGAGTAGGGGTAGTTTACAGAAACCTTGCTTTGTTACATCTTCGCCTTTCGCTATTACCATTTATTGCTTTGTTGCAAAATGAAAACGGTGAAAATTTAACAACCGCCCAGCCTCGAATAAGCGCCCACTCTCAAGGTCCAAAAATTTAATAAGCGCCCAGGGCGGTTAATCGAATAAATACGGTAAACTGGTTTTCGGTAGCGTAAGTGAGACGACACCACATTTTTCCGATTGAAATTAAAAATTTCATAAAAATTATAAATAACTACATAAAAATGGTACTTCAAATGGCGATAAGTGGCCAGATGGTACTTATAAATCTTTAAACTTGATAAAAAATCTGTATATTACTAAAGCTATTTACTTTTGACCATGATAAAAGATACTACAAAACTGTTTGCACAGCAGTGACTTTAGTTGTTGTGATGATTTTCCTATATTATTCCAGAGAAAACATGGATGTTTTTGTCATAAATTTTGCTTATAAAACTGTTTTAGTATGTACATGTGTGATTTAGTCAGGTTTCACACTGATAATTTCTTAAACTGACGGCCAGCCAAGCAGTGTAGATGTACAAGAGTACAAAGTAATCTTGGCTGTAACAAATTATTTTGCCCAATTAAAATCATATTGCTCATTCACGTATTCGTAAAAATGGCAAGTGAACCGGCCCATCAATTCGAGAGGGGAACTGGGCCGAGAAACTTGTCGCAAAGACTTCTGGGATTGATTGATGGGCGCGTCCTAGTAACGATCCCAGAAACAATAGCGGGACGTATTTCGGCTCCAGTTCCCTTCCCGTTTCTAAAGTGGCGAGGTCGAGGCTGCGCGTCGGAAAATAGACATACTTTTGCGTATCAGATACAATTGATTATTATTTTAAATGGGACGACTGATACGAAAATTCATCTGTACATGGAAAGGTCTCGTCACGTTTCCTTTCCTTCTGCATTCTCGGCCTTTCGTTTAGATGCTGGAGAACTGCCTGCCGATTTAGAAGCGTAAGGCTTCGGCTTCGGTGGAGGTGCTCGAGGCGTTGAAGATTGGGATGGTCGTGGGGGTTTGGGCGGGGGGGTCTTCAGCCCCTGATCGGATGTAAATTGAAGTGACATCCGCGGTTTCACAGGTGGTGGAACCCTTTCTTGGCCTGAGCC